GGAAAGCTTGCTACAAGTATCCACAGGGCAGCCCATCGCTGCCACCTGCCACCTGCCCAGACAGAGTCTCCCAGGGGGGCCTGCACACGTGGCCCTGTTGGGGACTCATGGTACTAGTGCCTCCACTGAGTATGTGTGCACACGAGCGCTCCCCGAAGACATGAATCGGCCTCGCCCTTCCGTGTTCCTGCCCAGTCCTCACGGTGCGCCTGGGACCCGGATCCAAGCAGTTGACAGTGCGTCTTCTTACCCGCCGTGTTCTGGACCAGGCGCGCGCTCTCGGCTGCTAGCCAGCAGGACGAGGAGGGAGGCAGGCGGTCTGCTCCGGCACCCACAGCGGCCCGGGAACCCCTGCGGGCCATTTCCACTCTGCCCTGGGAAGCCTCTGTGAGATGACCCAGCAGCAAGGGGCCGGCGTTCTCGGTGCCAGGGATGGCAAATTGTCGTGGCCCGTGCTGATCGCATGCCGGGCTCGGTTTTAAGCGCTTGGAGGGTTTTCGCTCATTGAATCTTAATAACAACTCGGTGCGGCCACTACAGTGATTCCAGAGGCATCTGACACCTTTCCCAAAGGCACACAGCCGGTCCGGGGCGACTGGGAGTTGACACCAACCTGTGTTCCCACCACCACCATGCCCTCTTCTCCCCAGCACTGGGCAGGACACTCACCCCCATAAAGGGCGCCCTGGGAACAAGGGCAGGGACTGGGCTTCACAGCTCCCGGAGTCTGACCTTGAGAGAAGATTTGCCCGTTGCAGCAGAAAGGCTCAGGGATGAGGTGGGGCAGAAGAGATGGCAGGCGCCAAAACAAGGTGGGGGCAGACGGGGGTGGGGGGGTAGGGGGTGTTTGATGATTGCTAGGGGTCCAGTGCAGGGGGTGGGATCTCAAGTATTGCTTGGCATAAGAGGAAGGAAGAGACATGGGAGCAACAGAAGTGGCTTGGAGAGGCCGCCTGTCCAGACTGGTACGGAAAGGCCAGACAGCCGGACAGAAGGTATCTGACACCACAGTGGCAGCTTGATGCTTTCTAACCCTGGAGCTGCCCCAGGGAGTTTCCCAGGTTTTCCCAGAGAGCCCAGAGGAGAGGACAGTGCGGAGACTATTTCTGGAAGCTCTAAGTGGGCCAGGCACGTGCCCCCTTCCCAAGGGTGATCTCATGAACCCTTCAGTTAGTCTGTGAGGTGGGTGTGCTGCACAGCCTTTCTGGTGACGTGTTGTGGGTGGAGATCGGAGCTGCAAACCGTTGGGACCCCCCACCCACTGGCCTCGGGGGGAGAGGAGGCTGTCAGCTTCCTACTTCACCACAGCAACGAGTTTGGTTGGTTGGGGGTTTCGTGGTTTTTTCCGATTCACTGAAGAGCAGCGGTCGATCGTCACCCAACATCACACCACCAGGATGGCTGTCACTGCTTGGTAAGCAAGCAGCAGAAAGAGGAAGAGCTTCCACGAGATGGCTGGACCTCACGACGGCATGGTGGGCTCAAGCACAAGACCAGCAGGGGGGTGGCACAGCCCAGGCTCGTTGTACCCTTCTGTTGTACATCGCTCAGAGTCAGAGCTGACCTTGACCGCCCCTCGCCGGCGTACAGACACCGTTACGTGAGATGGTTTATTTGCCCTGGCAAGTGCCCCGCAGTTATTTGTTGAGTCAGATCAGGTGGAGCAAGCCTACTCTTGCTGAACGCTGGGCCTGGGAAGAAATCCACCTCTCGTTTTGCCTGTTGTCAGGTGCTAGCGAGCCGTGCACATGGTAATCATGTTCAACAGGACGAAGCACCACACTCACAATGGCTCTGTTGGAGCCCGTTGTTGCAGCCACTGTCAGTCCATCTCCTTGAGGGGCTTCCTTCCCCCAGTGAGAGCACTGACTCTCCACTTGACCCAGCCTGACGTCCTCACCCAGGCGCCCTCCTGATCACAGGACACCACTGTCACTTCTCAGGTACATTCTGCCTGTACTTGCTCCAACACGGATGTGGTCATTCCCCGAGCAGTGCAGTGTGCTTCACCACGACATCCATTCTCCTCCTGTCTTCCCTACTGGGTCCAGAAGCCTAGAACCCGGAAACTGGGACCAGCGCCTTTAGAGGAGATGCCCCGCCTGGGCCAGAGTCTGCTCCAAGAGCTCCTGCCTGCTGTCTGAGATCCACTCTATCTCATGGGGAAACTGAGGCCCAAGGTGGGAAGTCTCTTGGAGACAGGAGGGGAGGAAGAACTTCAGTCTTGGCTCTGTCTTCTGCTCCACTCCCTCCTGGGCCTCCCAGCTCTGCCCCTCGGGGCCTCTGGCAGTTTGTGGGAGGCTGCCCCCTCAGGAGGGCCCTGTGCCAGCAATCATATTGTTTCTGCTAGGAGGAAGCCAGTGCCCAGATGCCGATCAGCCTGCTTCACCCTGCGGGACGTTCCCTCTTGCAGGGATGGGCTGCTGAACGAGAGCCGTGTCTGCCGCACAGAAGAGGCTCCGAGAGACCTGGCCTGAGCTGGATTCTTCGGCCAGGACAGCCTGGGTGGTGAGCTACAGTGTTCAGACCAGGGTCTCCAGGCCCCCTGCAAAGTGCGACGCTTGCGGGAGATGCTCGGGAAGAGTCCTCATTGTCTCAGAAAAGCTCACTCTGGCCCCCGTGTTCCCC